CTCTCTCTCTCTCTCTGTCTCTCTCTCTCTCTCTCCTCTCTCTCTCTCTCGCGCGCTGGCTTTCACACCCTTCACCTGCCCAAAGTCTGGGAAGAAAAGTCAGCACGCCCGCAGCCTGGAGCACGGCTTTTGTTCCCTACACCGAAAGGTGAACTTTATTGAAAAGACCTGGTAGATGGCAGACCAGGTTTTATATAGTGAATATAATGAACCTGTTCATGGGTGCATTGTTCAACGTATTCTCCGATATTCTGCATGTTGCTCTGCTGTTTCAATCAAACATTCTCACTGTGCGCTGTGAAGCTAGGACGCTAGTCCCAAGTCATCGTCATCGATCTTAAATGATGAGCAGCTGAGAATCTCAGTTCCCCAGAATCAACCGCATCATTATGTATCATCGTGATTTTAGTATCTCGCATTGGGTAAATTGGTGACGTTCTCCTGCAATCTTGTCATTGCACGATCCTCCGCAATTGTCAAGAAGATGGGCGAAAAAACACCACCACCACCAGCATGCTGACTGATTCTTCAAGATTCCCTCTCTTTCCATCCACCCTGGCAAGCTTCTCTCGGGAACTGACTGCCAATTGAAGCAACTGCCATGCTAGCTCTTGTGCCCCTGGTGGCTCAACCATGGAGTTGTACCTGAATCCGTGCTCCCAGTGATGTGACGGATTGTAACTTTCAAGAGGATACAGTGTATATACATGGTTCTACATTCCACGCAAAGGCATTCGAGGAGGAAAGGACCAACAATGATGCCAAACTCAACAGTTCATCAAAAAACAGCATCACTATGAATTCCGAAAATGCATTCCTGTGAAGTTGTACAAAGCAACTCACATTGGAGGAAATGCTACAGTATTCAAACGCCTTTTCTAAGTTAAAGCTTCCACCACCCTGCTTGTCAGCTGGCGCACCTTGCGTCCTGGCCTGGACAGTTTGTTGCTTCAGAATTTGGACCACCAAGGGCACCAAGGTCCCAGAGGTATTCATTTGGGTTTTTGCCAGCCTTGCACCAAGCACCACCAACCAAACCAACCAGACCAACCAACAACAATTAGTTGATATTAGTTGGGTGGTTCTCCTTCTCACCACCCTTGTATGGATTGCCTTTCTCTCTGGAAGGGTGGCTCATGCTGGCTCATGTGATGGCTCATTCGATGACTCATTCGATTCTCTGTTTGATCACTATTCCACCCGTCAACTTTTGTAACTTGCTGAAGTCTTCGGACATGGGAACAAGAACGTCAATGTCCACGGCTAATCACCTTGCACACCTTGGAAGTACGTCGAACCTAAATCCTGCTTTACTGCTGGCTACCTTTTCCTTCAATGCACTGCCTGGATGGCGGTGGGCTGACAGTATCTGCAAAGCCTCCTGTCGCATGCTGCCAAAACAAGAATACACCAGACCCAAAGCGTCTGTGCATGTGTTCAACCTTTGTCCAATAGCTGCTCAAGGGCATAGAATGCCAACAAAAGTTGGAATTCACTGCGGTCCATTCCTTCTGAGTTCTTTGAAGAGCGAAGCAGCTACTCCACACATGTGGGCCTCCTGCGTCTGTCCCTGTGTCCTGCGAGTGGCCAACTGCCAGAAATGCCTCCGTGGCATCCTGGCCGTTGCAGTGGAGCCCACGACCGTCGAAATGTTCACGACCACGACAGAGATAGAGTGACTACAAAGGTGTTCTTTCGATTCTGGATCGTCTCATTAGATGCTCCTTCGTGATGTGATAATTCATCTTTTCTCCTCACACACTGCGTTTTACACCGGTGTCCGCAGGAGGATGGTTGCATGTTTTGTACATTCATCTCACTTGTCGTACATACACACCCTCTAGCACTCCACAACGTGGAAGGGCTATCGAGGGGCGAACGACGGATCGATCGCGAGTTGGTGTGGATCGTCAAATGATTTTTACAGTGGCCCAAAATAACATTGAGTGCTTTGAATGCTGTGACTGCCCAGAGTCAAAATTCTGACAATGGAAAGTCTGATGAAGTCAACGGATCACGTCGCTGCACATGTGGGGGAGTGACTCTAAAGATGACCCAAGGTCTTGACACCAATTTAACCTAAAGATCTTAAAACATGAATGAACCAAGGAGTTTTAGGGAGAAAGCAGGTTCTCAGAGTGCATCGTATTCCACGATTCCTGCCCAGCATGACGCTGCAGCACTGCTGCGCCACCGGGATGTTCCTGGCAATTCTGGGCTGAGGTTGTGAATCGCCGTGAACCCATCCGACACCCTGAAAGACATGTAGTAACAAGGACGCTATTAGGAGCAAAGGGCATCGCTACTAGGAGCAAAGTGCATTGCCGTATATGTTGGATGTGCATCCTTCAGGAAGCAACTGATTGTTGCAGCAGCAGGTTTCTATGTGCTCATTGGATGGTTGTAACTTGTTGCCCCTGCTGTCCTGCTCTCCCTCTGGCTCGATTTCTTGAGGCCAAATATATAAATACTACAAGCCCCCTTGTACTTGTACTGGGAAGCTGGAGGGTGTTCTGCATTGTCTACATACACTAAGTTGTATCGATCCTTTGTTGAAGCACATGTCACGCTGCATGGCCAGCTGACATTCTCCGTAGAATTGGAAGGACCGTTTTTTCTCACCAAAAACAGCGGCCAGCGCCGGATTTCTCGCAGGTCTGCGCTCGGCAGGTGGAGTTCTGTTCGATCCGCCAAATCCTTGAAGGAGATCCGAGTTCGTCCTCCTGCGCTTATTGAGTCCAGTGATGGTCTCCTCGATGCTCAAAAGCTTGCTGTTTCAGAGTTCTAGGCGGTGTGCTAGGAAGCCTTTACAGCAAATCCTGTCTTCTCAAGGCAAGAATAGTCAGCTTGTGCTGTGACGTGTTGCTCCACAATGAGGCAAAGGCAAAGTAGAGCTTAGCGGTCAAATGAACGTTACAATGAACCTTCTGTAGTCTGGGGTGAGACTCTGCAGCCTGCTCGTGTGAGGTGTGACATGTCCCTGCATTATATTCCCAATCTTCATCAAACTCAAGATACTGTGCTGTTACATGTTGCTGTCCAATACATTTCTAGAGGGAAGTGAATGTCCTATCTATGTTGGGATCATTATACATGGTCCAAAGTACACCACCTTGCATGTAATATCATAAGTTTGCCGTTTGCTCAACAATGATTCGCTACTTGCCAACGCACAATGAGAACGCTTTAAATTGGAGATCTCCACCAAGTTCGCTAAGACCTTCCATTTGGTCATAGATTTCTTAGATGATTTCAGCTGTTTCATGGCGAGATAGGTCAGCATTGTTACTGGCATCGCCATGGATCTTCAAAAGCTCGCACCCATGGAGATCTCCACAGGATCAGGAGCTCCAAAAACAATGCAGGCTCGTCATTGAACACTGGAGACCTAGCAAGGGGTGGGGAAAAAGAACACGTATTCTTGTTCTCCAGTGCAATGATGTTCCGAAAGTAGGACCTTCAGTTGCGAGGCTTGCTCATTATTACATGGCCGAAGAATTCTTGAAGAACGATTCTCCCAGGCTCCCTTCATCCTGTGGTTGGCACAAAGTGGAAACAGCAACATTTCATGTTACTTCGCTGCCTTTGATCGCAATCCTCTGCTTGCCAGCTGAAAGACGCATGTACTCACCTCTACCAACGCAACATTGTCACGTGGCAAGCAGCAGTTGTTGCGAAAGCAGGGAAGTGAAAAGTCTTTGAGATCTGGCACACGAAACGCTGCGCTGGCTGTGGGCTTTTACACGCAACCAAATGTGGGAGTTTTCCCACATGAAACGCGTAGAATCCATCGGTGATGAACTCCTACATTCTGCCAAACCCTGCTGAAGCAACTAGTCAACACGCGGCGTGATTGAGTTTTGCTTATGAAAAGGACGGCATGCAGTGGTAACGGCAATGTACAACACGGGTTGCTGCAAATGCGCAAAGCCATGATGTGATTATCAGTGATCATTTTGGCTTGTGATAGTGTTCCGTCATTCACCAGTCCATGGCACCTCCAACCAACAGCGCCTTGTAAGCATGCCTGAACAAGAAATTAGCATGTCCTAGCCCTAGCATTGATCTACCAACTGGCTCCAAGACTCCAGAGAGGTGTGCAGAATGGTCTGAAGAAACGCTTGGGCAAATACTCTTTGCTAGGGCATTTCTAGCACCTCAAGGAACTTCGCGCATGCCTGCAAGCGCAATTCCACTTGCAAACTTGTAAAAGGATGGGAAGGATTGTATATCTTCTGCGGTTCTGTCTCTTCAATGACATTATTAGTATTGTGTAGCGGGGGATGATCGCCATCATTTCAGACATCCACATCTCTATATGGTGCGTTGTTCACCAAGCATTTCAGGATGCAGGATGGTATATAATTGTGAAGCAAATAGAGGTGAAGGTTGATTTAAAAAGACACTTCAACCTCAACCTCTGACTACCCATACAACCAAACGTTGACCTTTTGACGATGCTGACCATAGAAGTGGGTGTGGGGCGGGCTCGACAGAAATGAGGGACAACGAAATAGACGTTCTAAATAACCTAACCTCCGTAAAAGCGTTATTGTTCCTACTAGGAAGGAAGGGAGGAAGGAAGGAAGGCAATGGAAAGAAAGGTCTAAAGGCTGTATTGTATAAGTAGCTTCAAAAATTGACCATGCGAAGGGTTCTTCTTCATCCATATCGCTCTTCGTTAGCTTCTTCCTTGCCTTGCTACTTGCTACTTATGCAGCTCGCCTTCTGTTGACGGCCTACCCGACCCCACACGCACACGCACCAGAAATAGAGGTTCTTCTTTCTAAAAGCATTCTTATGACTTATGTCTGTCTACTTTCACACTATCCCCAGGCTTTTAACTTCAAACAATGCCGATCGAGGGCAAAGAAATTAATTAACTCCTATTGCTAATTACTAATAGTATCTAATGGTGACTTTTGCAGGACACGCGCTTGGACTCTGAAGTAGCTGGCGCCCAAGAAACTGTACTCCTCTTCTGTGAGTTCTACAGCAACCGCCGAATGGTGTAGAATTCCGTGGCATCACCGGTTGACAGGCTCCTGAGGGTGAACCACTAAAAGAATTCCGCATCTTGGCTTGTTACGCTCGCAAACAAAACAAAATTACCTGTGGCTAGATGTCATAATTAGATGTCTTTGGACTTTGGACGTTGACAAACATTGCTGATTCTTCCAGAGGAAAGGAAAACAAGACTCGTCCGTGCCTTCTAAATGAACCTGGCAAACAAAGCAAGGTCATCAGTGCAAGCTTGAGGTTGTCTTAGTCCTCGGCTCAGGTTTATCTTAGATGCCCGAAACAGAATCCTTGTGCTCCCGGGTGCACATAACTAAGATCAAGAAAAAATTCAACAAGGAAGGTAAGGCCCAATTTAAAGGGCCACATTTATCCTTTTTACCGCTCCAGCTCCTCCGTACTTAATTAAGTAGGGGACTAGTAAGCTTCTAGGCTAAGTTAGCTTCTAGGTACGACCCAGGATAGCTCACGCTTCTTCAAGAAAGCTCCCCTGCCTGAGGGCGGCGGGGAGAGCGCTCGCACTAATCATTTGGTTCCTAGATTTTTAGGGAAACTTAACATCTGGGGCCCCTGGGGCAATCTCACGGTGCGAATGTTGACCATTGACCGGCATGCTAGGGATCAGTTTCATGATGAGTGATTTTTTGCGTGCATGGGGTTTGCTTTTTACACTCATAATGGAGCTTCAAGAGTGCGTGTTAAGTGAATCTGCATGAATCTGCTAAACTCTGGCCATCTGCAATGTACTTGTTCGCCATGCTTGGACAAGCTGCTGAAAAGTCCTCTGATCATGCACCAAAAGCGCGCTCGTTTCTTGGATCTCGCGGTGAAGTCAATGGAGGCGTGTCCTCAAATAGACAGTGCAAAATTGTAGCTTGGTGAGGCTTTGCCAGCTTGTCTTGGAACTGACCCTATAGTGGGACGGTATGATCGCGAAGTCTGCAGGTTTTGTCGGGCAAGCCGAACACCTCTTTGTGACTGGCGTCCTGGCGGCTGCTGATCTGGTAGTACTCCGTCTTCACATCCCCTTTGCCCATGTTCAATCCTCCTTCCTGGCGCACCTGCGCATGAAGAGACTTCACGGGTTCAACCCAACAACAGCTCTGCTAAACGCATGACGATTCGTCTCAGCCTCAGCGGACGATTCCTTCTCGCACTCGGAGGGAGAATCCCATTCAGGTGCCGTCACTTCAACTCGTTGAAACCTCGTTGCCGCCGAGGAGGAAGGAAGAGGTAGGAGCAAAGGGCATCGCTGCGAACGGAACGAGGACGCTACGAACGGGGCTCCTGGCATCGCTACTAGGAGCATTCTTACTACTAGTAACAAGAATGCTACTAGGGGCTCCTGACCTTACTACTAGGAGCAAGAGGACGCTACTAGGAGCAAAGGATGCTAACCTGCTCTATGTCCAGCGGGTTCCCCTAAGATACCTTGCAATACTCTGGCATTCATTCAGCATCGTCCAAGGCTAAAGTAATGGTAACCCCGCCGCAGCTCTCTAGCATCATGTGAGCATTCTCCTGTACTACTCGTGAATGAGAGGGGAACATAGCGCAGGACTGGTGATGCTGCTGATACGTACATTCCCTACAGTCCGGGATTTGAGATTGAGCATGCAATGGGACCAGGACCCGGACCGTTGAATTTATGCGACGAAGTGACTCCACTTTGTTGACCCTCACAGGCGTCAAGCTCGAGAATGATGGAGCCCTCACAGGAGACGGAAGCGTAACATGGTTTCTTCCCTCACGCTCTTGCTCCCACCCACGCTCGCTGGATCAACACCGTCCCCTCCTAAAGATCCTAAAGAACCACCTGTCAAGTATGGGTAAGAGTGTGTACATGTGTGTGTGTGTGTGTTTGTTCTGAAAAGATTGTACTAAACCGAAGCTGACTAGACCCTGCGCTAGATGTTGTTAAGACTCAAAACTGGGGACAGTCATGGACGCTTCATTGATAGGAGGGTCTAGCTTCTCTCATTTTGCATGCGATTTCACATACCCACCTCTGCATGACACTCTCACGAGGGGCCAAAGGTAACACCTCACAGCTCCAAGGGTTGGCACGGCTCACTGGCTCACTGAATTCCACCAAGAACACTTCCCACGTGCTGACAGGTCTCTCTCTATCTCTCTCTCCCTCTCTCAAAGACGATTCTGAAATAAATACATAAACATTGAACATATACACTAGTGTTGTAGTTTCTTTCAGATTGTCCAAAGCAAATCTCAAGCAGCCAAGTCGCAGAATTACTGCCACTGCGGGGCGGTGTGGAGGTGCCCCGCGCACCACGAGTTCCGGTGGGACGGCGCGGGCGGCGGCGACTGCGACGGTAGCCCACGCCACAGAGCAATACCTGCGGCATGGGTGATAGCTCACGGGAGGACCCGCCATTTAGAACGAATAAAAACACAAACTCGACACCCGAGTACATAAGACAAGGACACAAAAACGGGACGCAACCTTTCCAATCGATGACTACACCACACAGCAATGCTCCGATCATGAGTGTCATCTTGAAGCTAGCAGCTAAGCCCTTCTGTTCTTCAGAAACTGGTTGCGCTTGGTACTTCGTGTCTCTCAAATGTTACTCCAGTCTGCTCCATCACCAAGGTGCCCCAAACACGAAGGCAAAGTAGACCCACGGTCGTGTAGCTCTCCGCGGTGGAGGGGAATGGTGCAAGAGATCTTCGGCGACATGCTCGGCCATGACCCTCAGCACCATCATGTACCATCTACTTCAAGCAACAAGGAGTACATTCAAGGTCGACTGTCGCCTTGATGCTCTGAGGTTTCGGGGCACTTAAAAGCTAGAATGTGAAGTTGGAATCCCAAAAAGGAGTGGCCTCATCACGCCTTTGTGGATTCGGGGTCAGCATATGGAGGCTGTAGATTATGGTTCACAGAGCAAACAAGTGTTCCAGATGAAATATGCACACATTACAAGCTCGTTGACAAGCTGTGCAGCTATATAATTAGGTGTTTTCGGCAACGAAGAAAAGAGTTCATTAAGTTTTAAACAGTGGTTTAATCTCCAAGTGGCACAGTCTCATTCACTTCCTCGGCAACTCCTTCGACTAAGCCTCGTGCTTGCCTCCGTTTGGTGCCCGTTCCAACACACGAAAAAGAATGTTGCAGCTCAACTTCATCCTACTAGTACGAGAAATCACTCAGTACGTCATCAGGCCTACGAAGACGAACAGAAGAACACTGAAAGAACCCATAAAATAAGAACAAATAATCGCAAAAGATAGCAAAACTCAAAACCTAAAGACAGGAAGTTAAAGGAAGCTAAAGGAAGAAGTCAAGAGATTGAAAAAAGGCACTTTCTGGCGGACCCAAACCCCGCCAAACCTCTCCACTCCGGACCAGCCGCCTTTCCAGCTCGCGTGCCGTGGCCGCCGCTTGAGCACCGAGGCGTTGGGCCTCGCTCTTGAAGCGCCGCAGGGCCTCACCAGCAACCACGTGGGGCGCCAAGTCCTCGCCGAGACGTTGCCGCAACCTAGGCGTTCCGGGCGTTCCAGGACCGCAACCGCAGGAGAAGCAACAGTGGATGGAAAGCCATAGCAAAAGCAGGTGAGAAAGCACTCTAGTCATCAGGTAAGTCGTTGCTTGTCGAACCACTTGAGTGACGAAAGGTCCTCTCTGAGGTGTTTGATGACAAACGCAGGGGCAGATGGGCATCCAACTGTTTCTCACTATGGACTCAGGTGCCCACTCCTCTCTCACAGCTGGGATTTCTGCAACGGCTGCCGCCAGCACCGGTACCGCCTTTTCAGACATGGCATCATCCAATGTCTCGAATTTACCATACGTGTTAACTGCAACTGAGATATTTTGCATTTCTCTGCATATGGCGAGCAACGTCAAGGAAATGAATCATGCATTCCGTTTCCATGCACATCCCGAACTCAATGGAACCAGGTGCAGGATGGCAACATCCAGGCTGACAAACAGTGGCCTTCATTGCCGTCTTGGCCTTGTCTGCACTCAGTTTTAGCTTCCCAATGCCCTTCGGCATGCGCACGCGCGGTAGGCGCAAGCGTGGGAAGTGGCGCTTTTTGTCCTGTCAGCACAACACACGAGGAACTGGGCACGGTAGATTCTTTGTAGATTCTTTCAGGCTTGTTTGTGCAAGTCGTTTGATCGAGTGTTGCTTCAAATGCAAATGTGCTTAAGATGTGAGGGCTGATCATCAGCGAAGAGAGAAGGCAAAGCCGGGCTTGTCCCGTCTTGCAAGTTTTGGGCAAAGAAAGCCCAAAGAAAAAGGACTTTCTTTGTTTATCACTGTATGTCCTTCGCTTCATCAAGGTAGACTGAATAGCCTCAGCATGCTACGCTGGATGAAGGAAGTATGTTACGACTAGAATCACCTGACCACCTCAAGCCTGTGGGAACAAATGCTCAAAAGAACAACTTCCAGGGACTACAATGAACTGCATACTATAATACCATGTTCTGTTTTAATCAGAGATCCATTCTTGGAGACATCCAAGAAATTACACCTTCCAGCCTTGCTGCTCTGATTTCTCTGTAAGCAGAGACGGAGTCCAAAAGGCAATTCATAACAAGTGCATGCTGCAGGAAAACAACCTTGCAGCAAAAATGGCTGGAATTTTCTTCCAGGCATCACATTCTGTGAAGCGCATGAGGCGATGTCTTCTACAAGTACAAGGACCGTGGAAGCATCATCCGCTGCATATGCTCATGGCCCTACACAAACAGAATCCAATGCGGAACCGGGGGCTGAAGTGATCCAGCTGCCCGCCCTGGGGCAGCGGTGGAGTCTCAGTAAGGGCAAAGATTGGGCTCGACAGCAACGCCTCACGTGGCATCACCAAAACGCACACGGAATGTAGAAGGGTTGGAGGCCATCGCTTCTAGGAGTACTCTAGGTAGGGGGGCAAAGCGGCCTTCAAAAAAAACGCACTTTCATATTTTTTGTAGAAGGGGCTTAGAATGGATGGTCCTCGCAGACTTCTTCATTACTCAAAGCACTCTTCAACTCTCTAACAAACCTGTAGTAGATGTCGTTGTGTTTACAGTTTGCAGCACTAGCATCACATTATGAACCTGCTACTTAGTTCATCTTAGTTTGTTTTCTGGTTGGGGGGTTGGGACAAGCACTTTGCCACGAAGAATGGGTGGCTGCGTAGTCCTAGGACAACTCGGTCATGCATTCAAGACACTGCGCAAAGAATTGCAAACGGCATGATGCTCTAGGGCAGGTTGTCAAGCCAACACACGGAGATCAACAAGCAAGAAATCAGAAATGAAATGACAAATCTAAAGCCTCAACTAACTTGAGATTTTGACGGAGACGCCAGAATTCACTAAATTGTTTGAGCCAGAGCCAATGGGAGCGCAGGAACCATGCGGCTTCAGTTCAATTCGCTCGCGCTTTTGAATTATGTTCCTTCCCTATGTCTTTTCTTCTCTCTATCAAATTAAGAACACCTCTGGTGGATCCATCAAGGTTTGATCACAGTTACGTCAAACAGATTTGCTTGGCACTTTGGACATTACGACCATTGAACCTGCTCGTTATTTGTGCAATCATCCGGACATTCAGGTCTTGGTGCCAATGCACTCCACAATCGAAACACGAATGGACATTCATGGTGCCCTCAATCCGTTCTCTTGTGGCATGTCCCACACGTACGGCTCCTCAAGGAATGAGCTCACATCATAAGTCACCTCATCTACAGTCAGAATGGTGCAGCTGAAGCACACAGAAAAAGAAAAATCGGGCATGCGTTTTAGAGATGGGATGATTGATGAAGGCTCAGCAGACCATGCATGTCTGTCCACACACTGAAAACCTCATGTTGTGGCACTGGCAAAAATTGAAAAGCCCAGCCAACAAAACAAAACCAAGCCGCCCCGTGGATGATCAGCTCACAGAGTTCCTCCTTCAAGGCACAGCATGCGTCGTTCAAGAGAAAGTGTGTGTGTGTGACCCTTGAAGTCACAGGGATCCTTTTGGAGTGTTTGTTAGCAGGGGGATGCCCCACACCTGAAGAGAGGGCATCTAACAAAGAGGCTCTTCAGGTTGTGCTGATATCAGCAAGGACGCTTGCTGACGTACCTGCATCAACTTTTAATCCTTTGGTAAAGTGCTAATGCATTTGCAGTCACGCACGGTACGCCGTCATCCTGTCGGCTCGTCGCATCGTGGCGTTTGACTTCTGGCCTTTAACTAAAGGCGCGCAGTCCCCCTCACCTGGTTTTTCAGGATTTGGCTTCTTAGGCTGGCGTGTGGCACCGCAGTCAGTATAAGTGTGTCTCTCCCAGTGAGAGCGCGGGATGAGCCCGCAGAGTGCCTCCCGTCCCGTGGACCCGTCGAACGGGGGTTTGTCTTGTCCCTGCGCCCGGGACCAGAGTAGCTCGCAGCGGGCGTAGGTGGCCTAGGTCGAGAGAACTCAGATTTTTGTCTTACGTCTTGAACGCCAAGCTGGCTCATGCCATAACGTGACTGTAGCGGTCTAAGCTGCCAGCCAGTTTGGGTGGCCGCAGCGGCCGAAGTTTGTTCAAGGCTCATTGGAGTCTGTCGTGAGCTTAGTTGCACACACAGCACGTACATGTTCAACGAGGCTTGCCTAGGTTCTTTAATGAGGTTTGGGCTCATTGGTTTTCGTCCCCTCCATTTGGTTCCCTTTTCATCCTTTTCCCCTTCACACACCTCTGTTCTCCTCTTTTCTTTCATGTCCTCCTGGCTTCATGTCTTTCATCTCATCCTTTCTTTCATTTGCGCGCACATTGGTCCCCGCCTGAGCGTGTACGTGCACAACTACATGTACTTTAAACCCAGGTTTTAGGTGGCCCAGGTCTTTATAATGAGGTGGGTTTCATTTTCATTGCTTGTCCCTGTGCGCTTGGTTCCCCTTTCATCACAACCACATACACCTTCGTACCGTTCCGTCCTCTTGTCATGTCTTCATTCTTTTGTCTCTCGCGCGCACACGTGCACATTTTCCGCCTTAACCTTAGCTTTACGCCTCTTTTCGGGGAGGCGTGTGTGTGTGACCCTTGAAGTCACAGGGATCCTTTTGGAATGTTTGTTAGCAGGGGGATGCCCCACACCTGAAGAGAGGGCATCTAACAAAGAGGCTCTTCAGGTTGTGCTGATATCAGCAAGGACGCTTGCTGACGTACCTGCATCAACTTTTAATCCTTTGGTAAAGCGCTAATGCATTTGCAGTCACGCACGGTACGCCGTCATCCTGTCGGCTCGTCGCATCGTGGCGTTTGACTTCTGGCCTTTAACTAAAGGCGCGCAGTCCCCCTCACCTGGTTTTTCAGGATTTGGCTTCTTAGGCTGGCGTGTGGCACCGCAGTCATGTCCGTAAGCATATCTATAAGTGTGTGTGTGTGTATGAGCGAGAGTGAGAGAGAGAGAGAGAGGGACCCACCATCTGACCATGTCACACCCTCTTCTATAGGTTCTACTAGTCTGGCTGCAAAAAATCCCGTCCTCTCCGCTAGCTTCAGATGTCACACCTGTTGGGACTGGGAAGGGCGAAAGAGTGTTGAGCGCTGCCAATGGCTCCGTCAAGGGCATGCAGTCTGAAAACTAAAATTCAGCGTTCTCAAGAACGTATTCAATGCATACATTACTTTTGAGAACGCATGAATGACATAGACAGCTGTTTCACAGGATTGTATGGCTTTATATAAATGTGGCAGCCGAGATTGCTTTGCTGTGCATGTTAGAAACTCATGAATGATAGGGCACTCTTTTGTCAACAACATTGCAAGTCAAGCTGAGAGTGGCTAGGAACCACAGTAATACTAACTCAACAGTTGGATGCCAACAACGGAATGAGTGCGGCTTGCATCTCCCCTCCCGAGTGGCCTGGCTCGCCCAGTTCTTGATCAATGCTCGGAGCAGCCTGAGGCAAATACCCCGTGAGGGCAACTGAAGCATGTTGCAGGATTGCAAATTAAGCGGCCGTGCATCATTGCATGGTCCCATATTCTGTAACATGTTGCATCTTTGAGGACTCCTACTCTCCAAAGCCCTTGGTATTGAAACCAATGCTGGAGCTGAGAGCATTCTCCCCCGTGACGGAGCTTGATGCACTAAGACGTTACGATATTGTGTGCAACTGTCTCCGGGTCCTTCACTCCTTCCCTCCCCATGCCTCTGTACTTTGCACTGCCAGCAGAGTGGGCAGCCTGAATAGCATGATGCAATCTGGAACCTGGACTCTTGACATGGGTTCGACACGTGCGGTTCACATGCCGTGTTCTGTGTCTTTGTAGTCCCACGTCTCTAATGATCCCTGGGTGTGGGTCAACGTTCTCTCTTCTTCTCAAAGAACTCCCACCTGAGCAACCAGGTGCACGACATGGCAGTCAGCACCAATGCAACTGGCTCCTGTTCTGGCAATGATAGAACATTATTAGCGACAGTCTGTCAACAAAGCGCGAGCCAGCGAAATGTAGGGCAGTGAAATCCCAAACCACAGTAGGGTCTGCTGGACGTTCCGCTGGACTGCGTTCCTTGCCCCGGTTTAGGCACCAATGTTCCTCAAATCATCCCATAGGAAGCTCCAACAAGTTATCTATTCGATTCATTGTCCTTTTATGTTCCGAGCAAAGTGCCAACTTCATCTTCAGCTCCTGAAACAGACACATAAAAGTGCTTCTATAGTCCTTGAAGATCAAGAAGGGTGCCAGGCGGAAAAGCACAACCTGGGATTCAGATCGGAACGCACGGGATCGCTCCTTTGGCTTACAAATAGTCAAGAGTCAAGAGTCCACTGTCTCAGCGGTTCGATCCAAGCAAGAATTGGTAGCAAATGTCGCAAACTACTTTTGTTGAATGTCTCAATGAGAAGGACTCTTTCACTGAGTTCACTGGGCCGTATAGATTGAGTCGCAGGAGAGAAGCGAAGGTGGCCTGATATACAGTATGCCCCGCTGTGTGCAAGAGCATTGACAGCTATGCCCCCAGCAAGTGCAAGGCCCAGTTCCAAGCAAAGCTTGTACCTGCACTGCAGTGAAGAATATGTGTCGTCGCACCTGAACAATGCATGAATAGAATTTCAGTTACGCAAAACCTACCCATGGCCTTCAATTCACAAGGGATCAAGGAATGCTTCAAATATCATGTGTATCGATCCTGTAGATCTTGCCGGTCTTTCACAGAGCTTTGTCGACACTTTGATCTGCTCCGAGAATCGGAGGAATGCTATTCCCTATTTAGCGATGGCCTCCAACCTACTAGCGATGGCCTCCAACCTAGTAGCGATGGCCTCCAACCTAGTAGCC